ATGGCTCCATGGCTGGAAGGATTCCTAATTAGACGGGGCAGATTCTAATGACAGTCGATGGCAGAGCCGAGCGAGCCTGTCAGTGCGAGGCAGTGACTTTGGACTGTGGGGCTGTCTGTCTTTGGTTCTGTTCTGGTTAACATTTCTTCAATTACCCAAGTCACATATGTCTGCTGTAGAAATATATAAACTATAGGTCAGCAAAAAGGAAGAAAAAAACAGCCTAAATCTCACAAACAACACTCACTGAACCGTCTTTTCCACTTGCGGTAACTTTGAAATTTTCATAATAAAGTGTTGGGGATAGATAGCCCACCACAAAAGGTAAACCCACTGTTCACACTTACCTGCCCATCTCTTTTAAAACATTGTTATTGGGGTGACACTGGTTAATAAAATTATATATTAGTAGGTCTCAAGTGTGCAATTCTATCTGCCAATCTCTTTATTGCAAATAATAGCAATGAAAGGTAGCATTTTATTGGGCACTTACAATGAGCTGAGCACGTACAATGAGCTGGCAATGGTGCCGAGCATCTTAAGGCGTCATATCATTAAATCCTCAGAACCCTTTTATAGTCTACTTTTCACATGGCAGAGCTGAGGCTCAGAGATGAAATAACTGGCTCTGGCCACAGAGGCTGGGTGAGCGGCTAATGCAGAGTTTGAACCAGGATTTGTCTGACTCCAGAGCTGAACTCTGAGCAGCTATGGGACCCTGTGCTCCCTAAAGTGAGCCTAGACGCCCCCCCCCATCAGCCCCACCCATTCCACCCCTCCAGGGATGGCCAGGGCTCTTCACACTGCTTCCCTGCTGCTTGGCTCACACCCTCTGGGGCCATGACCTAGGATGTGACCTAGCAGAAGACATAGGTCCCAGTAAAGTTTGAGATTCTCTGTGGGAATCAATGGGAAAAAATATCCTCAGGTGCGGATTAAAAGAAAGAAGAAAAGGAAAAAAGCAAGCCAAACCACAGTATACAGTATATCCCATTTTATGTTATTTTTAAAAAATATATGTTTATTGATTTTAGAGAGAAAGGGAGAGGGAGAGAGAGATAGAAACATCAGTGATGAGAGAGAATCATTGATTGACTGCCTCCTGCACGCCCCCTACTGTGGACCGAGCCTGCAACCCGGGCATGTGCCCTTGGCCAGAATTGAACCTGGGACCTTTCATGTCTCTCACAGGCCGACACTCTATCCACTGAGCTAACTGGCTAGGGCTGTACACTTGTCTTTATCCTGTGACCCCAGGGGTCTTGGGTGTTCCTTTCCTAGTCTCCGCCCTCACTCCGTCCTCAACACTGCCCAATGGCCATCACCCTGTCCTGAAGGTGGGCAGGGGGAGAGGGACCACTGTCACTTTCATTTAGCCCACCTGCAGGTAAGCACTTGGTGTCTCTCTAAGCAGGGCTCCAGGACAAGTCCTGGGAACTTACGAAGATGAGGGAGAACCAACCATCACGGTTCCGGACATGGCCATACTGTTTAGAAATCACATCCGATTGTCACAACGTCCGGAGAGGACCCAGAAGATGAAATCTGTTGTTTGCAAAGGAGAGAGATGAAAGCTATAGGTTCAGTTGACATTGTGAAGTGCCTGTCATCTCTTAGGCAGTGACAAAGCTGTTTACAAAACTATAAATGGCCTCAGCACTGAGTCAATCCCCAGATCCACCATCTGTCTGTGGGGGCTGGGGCCTGACCAGGACAGTGGCCAGAACAGGTCCCACCCGGCTAGAGTCCTGTGGGAGCTCAGACCCTTCCAACTGCGGTTGGAGCCTAGCGCCCCCTGGTGGCACGCTGCCGCC